AGCTTCAATGTGTCATGCATCTTGCATTCCTTTTTTATTTCATCTTGTCTTGCATAGATGACATCTAAGGCTACGATTCTTTCAAGGAGGTCATGGAGTCTGACTTCCAGCGTCCTCCGTGATTTCAGACTGTGGAAGCCGAGAGCTGCAGAATCTCCCCACTGCCTAGGATGACTGGAAGTTGTGAGGTATCCCTGCCAACTGCTGCCATGGGTACCTGGGAGCTCCCAGCTACTGTGCGGAGTACAGTCCCCAGGAGCTCTGGGCTGCCATAGGTGAAGTCCCCAGCCCTAGCAAACAGGGGGATTGTACCCCAGAGCTTCCCTCCACTACAAACAATGGGGGGACCCTGGAGCTCTGTGCCCCCACAGGTGGAAGACAACTGCATTGGAGACAATTTTTTATTTCAGAAGGCTGAGACAGTTACGGGGAGAGGGGAGAAGCTGTTCTAGTTTTGATTTTAACAAATAAGGAGGAACTGGTTGAATATTTGAAAGTGGAAGGCAGCTTGGGTGAAAGTGAGCATGAAATCAGAGTTGATGATTCTAAGGAATGGTAGAAGGGAGAACAGCAAAATAGAGAATAGATTTCAGGAAGGCAGATTTTAGTAAGCTCAGAGATCTGGTAGGTAAGGTCCTTGGGGAGCAAGACTAAGAGGAAAAACAACTGAAGAGAGTTGGCAGTTTTTCAAAGGGCCATTATTATGAGCCCAAAAGCAAACTATTCCACTGCATAGGAAAGACAGAAAGTGTGACAAGAGACTACCTTAGCCAGGAAAGCTTACATGATCTAAAAATCAAAAGAAGTCATATAAAAAGTGGAAACTAGGTCAAATTACAAAGATGAATATAAGCAAATAATGCAAGTATGCAGGGGCAAGATTAGCAAGGCAAATGCACAAAGCGAGCTCAGTCTAGCTAGAGACATAAAGGGTATCAAGAAGACATTCTATAAATATATTAGAAGCAGCTCAGTGAAGAGGGAGAAACAATAACTGGAAATTGGAAATGGCAGAGGTGCTTAATGACTCTTTTATTTCAGTTTTCACCAAGACAATTGATGGTGACGAGATGCCTAACATAGTGAATGCTAGTGGAAATTGGGTAGGCTTAGAAATTAAAATGAAAAAAGACCAAGTTAAAAAATAACTTATAAACGTTAGATGTCTTCAAGTCATCAGGGCCTGAACAAAATGCATCCTAGAACACTTAAGGAGCTGCTAGAGGAGGTATCTGAGCCTGTAGCTGTCATCTTTGAAAATCATGGAAGTTGGGAAAGATTCCAGAAGACTGTAAAAGGGCAAATATAGTGTCCATCTATAAAAAGGGAAATAAGAACAACACAGGAAACTATAGACCAGTCAGTTTAACATCTGTGCCAGGGAATATAATGGAGCAAATAATTAAGGAATTCATCTGCAAACATCTGGAAGATAATAAGGTGATAGATAACAGCCAGCATGGATTTGTACAGAACAGCATGTCAAACTAATCTGATAGCTTTCTTTGATAGGATAGCAAGTCTTGTGGATAAGCTAGAAATGGTGGACGTGGTATACCTAGACTTTAATATAGCATTTGAAACCGTCTATCGTGCCCTTCTTATCACTAGAAAAGTACAGCCTACTCTAAGGTGGATGCATAACTGTTCTCAGAGAGTAGTTATTAACGGTTCACAGTCATGCTGGAAGGGTATAACAAGTGGGGTTCCGCAGGGGTCTGTTTTGGGATTGGTTCTGTTCAATATCTTCAACAATTTAGATGATGGCATAGAAAGTATGCTTATTAAGTTTGCAGATGGTACCAAACTGGGAGGGGTTGCAAGTACTTTGGAGGAGACAGTCATCATTCAAAATGGTCTGGACAAACTGAAGAAATGGTCTAAGGTAAATAGGATGAACTTTGATAAAGAGAAATGCAAAGTTCTCCACTGAGGAAGGAACAATCTGTTTCACACATACAGAACAGGAAGTGATTGTCCAGGAAGGAGTACTGCAGAGTGGTTAAGCACTGGAATAAATTACCTAGCAAGGTTGTGGAATCTCCATCACTGGAGATATTTAAGAGCAGGTTGGATAATCATCTATCAGGGATGATCTACACCAAGGGTGGCCAATAATTTTAGATGGGTGGGGGGAGGGGGAGCATTTCACTAATTTTTTAAATGGCCCTGAAGTTGCCAGGTGTCCGGTATTGCGGCCTCTGTCTGGTAAAAGAAACCCCAAAATACTGGACATGTAAAATGTCTGATATTTCTTGTTTTCTGGGACGGCCAGCCGCTTAGGACATTCTTCCCCTGCCTTGTCTGGAGGGGGCAGGGGTTAGATGGGTGGGGGGAGGGGGAGCATTTCACTAATTTTTTAAATGGCCCTGAAGTTGCCAGGTGTCCGGTATTGCGGCCTCTGTCTGGTAAAAGAAACCCCAAAATACTGGACATGTAAAATGTCTGATATTTCTTGTTTTCTGGGACGGCCAGCCGCTTAGGACATTCTTCCCCTGCCTTGTCTGGAGGGGGCAGGGGGAGC